CTACCTGGAAGGAGGTTGTGGTGAGGTGGGTATTAGTCTCTTTTCCCAGGTAACAAGTGATAGGACAAGAGGAAACAGCCTCAAGTTGTGCTGGGTAGGTTTAGGTTGAACACCAGGAAAAATTTCTTTACTGAATGAGTGGTGAAGCATTGGAACAAGCTGCCCAGGAAAGTGGTGGAGTTACCATCCCTGGAGGTGTTCAAAAGATGTATAGATATGACACTTCAGGACATGGTTTAGCGGGCATGGTGGTATCAGGTCAACGGTTGGACTTTATGATCTTAGAGGTCTATTCCAACCTAATGATTCTATGATTCTACGTTGTGGACAGAAGTACATACACCCGCTCTTCTTGATGAACCATTGAACTACTTTCCCTCAACAGGTCTAACAGTATCTACAGATATTATATATACATTATATCCACAGATACTACTTATTGGTCTAATTCTTTTATTTTGGATGTTGCTAATGCTGCTACCAAAGTGTGTGTGCCTCTATGTACATAAACGCATACATTAAAATTAAGTGCAACTTACGGACAGTAGAAGTGATTTTTCTGGAATGTGTGCACTACAATCATCAGAAATATGGCCACTAGATCTTCTTTTCCTTTTCTCAGAATCAAAAGAGCCTGATTCTTTCTGACTAAGAGTGGTGCTGTTCATTTTTCTGCTCTTCTTTTCCAGTTCATCATAGTTCTTGTTTTCTGTGTCAGGAAAAAAAAAAAAAAGTAATTTAATGGATTATCCTTAAAAACCTTTTTATTTCTTCATATCTGTTATGTCTTACATAAAAGACATGGAAGCAGGTATCTTCCACAACAGCTCTTTCCTTTTTTAAAATAGTGTGTTATGGCCAAAACATATTCCCTAAATTAAGAAAAAAATATTATTGCATGATTAGTTAAGATAAGGGTATAACCAAATTCATAGCTCCCTTCCAAGTAAGAACTAGCACTCCATACTCCACAGCCTTTCTTTTGTCTTCTCCCTGGTGCAATATTCTCCCCATTTCCTGTTCTAATCTGCAAATATTACTAACCAGTACTAAAAAGCTACTATATTCTCCCTGGAGACTCAGCATAGAGCTCATCTTTTTTTCAGCAGTAAATACAAATATTGTCATATAGCATAAACATTTTAGCAGAGTTCACAAACCATTTGTGCCTTCTTAATGTATTACATTCTTGGGTATAAAAGATTTTTTTATCAAATCAGGATTACAATGGTGCAGTGAGGCTTCCCTTTGTTTCCTTTTTCTTCCACAGATCTGATTCACCATAGCTTTATTCCTATTTAAAAACATTTATTCAACATACTTTACCATATCTGTACAAACCTGCATTTTAAGGAAACACATACCCTGCGTACAATGCCTATTTTATTTCTGTGTTCTCCTCATAATAGACTAAAAGAAGAAAGTTTCCCAACAGTCTCCAAAATTCATATTTAAATGCCAGACTATTGCTCACTACAAACCTTTCTTCCGCAGCTCTCGTCTTCTAAAAGTGAAGACATTTTTTTCTGGTTCCTTAGAAGCCTTGGTCAATTTACACAGATCATCATCTGTCTTTCTCATGCAATGCTCAGACCTGTAACAAATATCAACTATGACTTATCTTTAATTTTGAAAGAATACTGAATAAAACTCCCAACAGAAACAAGAGTTGGTCAGACCACAAACTTCTGCCTTTCTTCTAAGCTTGGCAAATGAAACACAAACTAATTCACTTCCTGTTATGGAAGTACATAGATACTCTAACATTATTAATGAAACAGATGCTTCCAAAAAGCACAAAGTATGAAAATCTGACACATCTGACATCAGACACTGAAATACTATTTTGCTGTGAAGCATGACTGCAACAAGAACACATAACCAGAAAAAGGAAAGAACAACAGTCAGTTGAGTGTATCCTTGCCTTTGTCATGAATGCAGTGGGAATGAGGCAATGTAGTGTATTTTTAATTTAGATTTACAATTGCTAATAGAATCCATTAAGTTCCTGCAATGAGAAAAGATTTGAAACATACAATCCTGCTCAAAAGGGCCTGAAACACCTTTGAAGGAGGTGTGGGGGACAGGATGTGAATGAAGTAGAAACAGAAGAGGATTACAGTACGAGAAACTAGGCAACCTACAGGTGTTTAGCTGAGCTTGTAGTTTCATTCTAAAAAGGACATGCAAGAAAGTAACCTGTTGGTTTCTTAAATTTTATCAGCTTTTTCGTAAATAAGAGAACGTATTCAGGAGGTACTGACAGACTGAACAGTATGACATCTTCACATTTGAGGTCTGATATTGTAAACAAACTCCCAGTTTCTCTGCAGGCTAGTTACAGCTGTCAAAAGTCTATATAACTGTATTTTGGTTTCTAGTGTATGCATTAGGATAACATTTATTTACACATTCATGGAATATTTTTTCACATTAACTTAATTACATTCAGTATGCAAGATTCCTCTTCTGAAAATTTTTCAGAGTTACAAGGTAAAAGAAATCAACCTTCATGACCTCTGTTTCATTTTCTGTGAGTTGGAAAATAAAAGAGAAAATAAGGAAGATTTCATAGATAAAGCAATTTAATGCTGCTTTGGAAAATCTGTTCCATTCCTCCTTTTGTCACCTCACTTAATCCAAAGGGATTTTGTGTTCATTGTTTTATAATGTGTCTAACTCAAAATATCAGTCTCCAATTTGCAAAGAGCTAAGCGATCATCACAACTGAAATCACTGACAGTTCAGCCTGGACTTGTAGAGAACATCACTGACCCTAGGGAAGAACGTTCCTAACGTGTAACTAGACAGCCAAAACTCTTGGATGCTTTCTAAACAGATGCCTATTCTTTAGTGCCGTATCTGTAGACTACAGCATCATTGCTCTTTGGGAACACTGTAAAGACAAATCAAGACTTCCAGAGTGCACTGATACTACAGTGGTGAACAGTATATAAGCACTGCGAAGAATTTACTGATTATCTTTCCATTCACAAAGAATTGGATCATATACAGAACAAGCGTTCAGTAAATGCTGTTATTCATTCTGTACATTGAACAAGACAGAATCTTCCATAGATCAGGCAGTTATAGTTCTAGAATACCCTCACTACAGAAAACTTGATTTTGGAACCCCCATCTCTCTCTCAACTTAAATATTTGCATGCATAACAACTATATAGATTTGACTACCTTAAAAGACCACACAAAACCACTAGGTGTTTTTTAGCATTTGTTTTACACCAACGTCGTTATTCAGGCATTTCAACAATAGGAAACATTTCAAAAGGAATGTTTCAGCTAACAGACTTCCCTAAACATATTTACCTCATACACAAATTCTGCACATTTTATTTTCACTTCCAATCTTCACTGAAAACTCAGTTTAAAATGCATCTCTTAAATACATGCATAACCTAAGAAGCTATGGGAGTAGATACTAAAGTGTTCTCAACAGCCATTAGAAGCAAGTAGGAAACACACTTTACAACCCTAAGTTTCTTTATATTTAAATCCTACCTCAAATTCTTTAATTATACTGATAGGTCAGTGGTGACAAACAAATGCATTTCACACCAGGTTGCAGTGAATGAGCAATGCAAAATCCACCAATTCTGTAATATCAAAAGCAAGAAAGGAAATGGGGAACTTGCAGCAAGTTCTAGGCGACAGAGAAAGGTTAACTTATTGCCACCCTGTTCTCATCAGGTACAGTTCTTTGACCCAATCTAAAATGTCCATAGTACAAAACTGTCCCAATTTTCAGTAAAACAGAGCATGCATTCTAGCTACTCTGATGAAAGAAAAGAACCTCTATATGGCCATGTGCATATATACACATAATCATTATAAGGGGGGAGTGTTTACTCTCCTCTGAAAGAAGAGACCCCAAAAGAACCAGTGCCAAGTGTATCTTATGCACAGACCTTAGTTACAGGGAGGTGACCAGGATCAAACCACATCTTTGATACAACTCCTAAATTCTCCATTTCCCATGTGGTATCTATCACAACTTGCACCAACGTGCTGGTCAGTGTGGAGGGGTGGAAAATCCTCCTAATGTTGGTTCCTGCTAGTAACAAGCCTTTTACTTACTACATTAGAAAAGCTTGTCACAGGAACAAAATATTAATCCTTCAAACAATGAACCACTCCAAATCTAAAGCAAGTTGAGTACACCAACTACTAAGAAAACTGCCTAGTTCAAACCATTCTTGTGCTTAACATAGAACTCAACAGCCGCTCTCCAGATATGAGCTTGAAAACACATGCAAGATGTTTCCTCAGATTTAGAGAGTTATATACATGAGTTCATGTCTTCCTCTCTAAGAACCCATTACCTCCCATCATCCAAAACAATACCAAAGGGGAAAACCAGATACTAAAAATCATAGATCTTAAAGATTTTGTAGCAAAAAAACAAACTCCTCGCACTTTAGTCATCCTAAAGTTACGGAAAACTATTTACTAGCAACAAATGTAATACTTCTAAAATGAGACAGTCTAATAAACCATTCTAAATTCCTCATTTAAATTGCAGCTTTGTCAGATTAATTTAAGCATCAATGGGGATCCCAACAGAAAGAGAAAGGAATTCTTGCTAATTTAGGTTGAGGTGTTCATGTATCAGAATGAGGAATATGACTGACTTTTCTCAAGAATTTTTAAGGTTTCTTTAACCTGGGAACTGTTGATTATTCCTGCCTTCACAAATCATTCTTCTCTTCCTTCCTCTTTCTATTTTCTTCCCCCAAATTTCTTGCTAATTGTTCTGGTGGATACTTTGCTGTTGAGCAAAGAGGTGGCCATAAAAGACAACAGGAAACAGCTTACTCTGAATTCAACTGCCATCTTCGACCAAAACAAACATTACATAACTCTAATAGCCGATTTCTGCTTCAACCTAAATGCAGGAAGAAAAGAGGAAAAGTAGGTGTTAAGCAATGAGGACACACACAGAGCCCTTAAACAACGGCACTCTGTTGGGACTGCAACCACTGGTGGATTAATGTGAAAAGAAATAAATTATCACAGAGAGGAATTTGGAGAAATTCTGCAAAAGAAGTTACTTGAAATCATGCTGAAACACATTAACAGCAACAGGAAGGCAAGATTTTTGTTCTGAACACAAAACCAACTTAAATGTGTTTGAATTAACTGGCCATCTTCACAAATCAAAACACTGACATCACACACTCAAATACCTTCTATGAAAGAAAATTAGCCTATTAATATCAGGTACAGCAAATCAGAATAAATGCCATGTTAAAATGGCTCATTGGAGCAGCATGTTAGATTGCACTCAGGAAAAGGATCTCCTGCTTCAAGACAAGAGTACAATAAAATTGTTTCAGGGAAATTCTTTTCCATTGTGAAGTTAAGTCATTTCAGGAAGACCAGCAAAATCAGCAGTGAGTAACATACCTTTCAGACAGAAAAGAACTTTCATGAGGAGAACTTAATATTTGACATGTCTGTAGACTGGCAACAGATGATGAGGGTAGTTGACCTGATTGCAATTTGTCAGCATCAGATAAATTTGCATCAATTATTACGTGGCTGTCTATGTATTTTCTTCCAATTTTCGTCCTCAGGACATTCGTCAAGGTAACTTTGGGTTGCCTGCCATATATATAACAGTAAATCATAAATACTGCACTGAAATCTACGGGAAGAAACTTCTTGTTAAATCCATGTATTTTAGAGGCTCAATAATCAAACATCATTACTTTCAGACCCTTAGAGACAAAACAAAATCCCACTTAGGAACTTAAAATCCAAGGTGATTAGATAAATATGAAAAAAACCCAAGAGACTAAGGTAAGAAACGGTAGCCACACAACTTCACCTTAGCCAGATACAATTCACACTGCATTGCCTCTAACACATCATCTAAGCACTGTTTAAAAATTGGTAAATGTTTATCTCTAAATAGTTTTCATGCAGTATCTGTAGACATTTCTCAGATCTATGGAGCAAACAATCTTGATTTTCCTATGAACAAGAAGCCTCCAGTAAAACAGACTGAATTTTCTCAAGTACTTAGTCAACAGGTAGAAAAGTAGCACATACACAAAAAGATAGCATTACATTTTGTTCCCCCCTTCTTAAATTTCAGGTGGCATTCTACAGACTAGCAATAGCAAGGCTCAGAAAAACATCCACAATTGTTAGAAGAGACAAGCATCAAAAATAAGCTAACCAGAAATACGAAGATGCAACCGCCCACTTGAGCATGCGTGTAAGAGCAGCACAATTTACTTCATACAATGCCACTGCAGCCAGCTTGTTGCACAGCCCCTGGTTTACCCACTTAGTTTCTCAAGCTGGGATTTCAATTCCACAACTTCCATTGCCATTAGTTTTGGATTAGTATGTAACATCATGGCCTTTTCTGAATCCGTTACGAACAACATTTGTCTTCTGGGTATCAACTGCACAATTCATCTACAAAGCACACTCCAGCACAGACTGTGTGATGTCTGGGGAGCACTCAGATCTCCTCTTCCACTGAGATGTAAAGTTGCTTTTAATCAGGAAACCACCTTACAGACAAGATGTTGCAGAGGCACACAGGTGATAAGCAATGAGGATATGATTGAGAGGAAAAGTCTAATACAGAACACTGTAACCAGGATGCAACCGTCAATAAAGGAAGTCCCTAAACTGTTTACCATCAGAAACTCGGAGAGAAAACTCTGCGAAAAAAGCATTCACTCTAGCCATACTTTTCCCTGGGTATCTGCAAATGATCACTGTTTGTATGGGGTGGGAGGAAGATACTGGACTTGATACGCTTTTCTTCTGACCCTTTAAGCCAATTCTCCTATTTTCACGAGTAGTCTGAAGCGGTAACAGTGAAAATACACCTTGATACCTTCTGAGAAAAGAGGGCAGTTAAACGCAAGTATATTCTTTCCACAAGAATGAAACAATCCAAACATTTTGAGAGTCCCGTGGCTGAATCGGAATTATTTGGTCTTGTTAGTACAGGACCATCTAGAAGCCATCTGATCAGATGAACCCACTACAGCATGCCTAGCACCATTTCTCTTGATGATTATCAAAAGGAACCAGGTACAAGGGAATTCAATCAAGTCAGATGACATGAGAATGAGAACATAGTTCATGAACAAGATAGCTGTGGTACAACAAAGAATACTTTCTCGTGAAAAAAAAAACAAACCACAACTGCAAGCAAAATTATCTTGTTCAGTGATACAAGGCAAAGACAACATACCTTTTAGACAGAAAAAGGCTTTGGAGAGTAGGGTTTAAAATCTGCCATATCTTTAGGCTGGCAGCAGATGATGAGGGTGGTTGATCTGACAGCAGCTTGCCAGCATCAGAAAAATTAGCACCAGTTTTATGTTGCGCCTGTGTGTATTTTCTTCCTATTTTCGTCCTCAGGACATTCGTCAACATAACTTTGGGTTGCCTGCCATACATATAATAATACATGAATAATAGGGTGCTGAGAACTTCTTAAGTCACATGAATTCAACACAAATTTTTATGAGTTTACTGTGTCTGCGTCATACCTTATAACTTCAGTAGAATTAAGTTCAGTTCCCTGACAATTTACAAAGCAGTTGCCTGGAGAAGAGGAATCACAAACGCACCTCTTGATCAGGAGAGCCTTTCAGGGTTTCTTCTTCTGGCATCAATGACTAACTCATTCATTTGTGATTTTGAAGAGGTAAGCTTCCAGTGCAGAAGCATGGAAATTTTTGTGCATCTTTTTATTGAAAATTTTATTGCAAAATTTTGCAAGTGGTTCCACTATGGCCTTACATACTACTTTGAAAATGTACACTTGAGCATTTGCAGTATATGAAAACGAGTACTCATAGTGTAGCATCTTATTTCAGAACCATGAATATTATGGGTTCCCCCATCACAAATTAGATTATGACCTTACTCGGAAAAAAAAGATCAAGCAGCTAACACAATATCTCTGTTTTGAGGCTCCAATGGATTTCCATTCAATTTCACTAAAGAAATGACATACAATTATGAATTAACGAGTTAGTAAAAACTCCCTGTTGAAGTTCTTTAAACCAGCATCTATAATTTCCTCATTCTGCTAGATTGGTACTGAAGTTTTCACATAAAGAATTAATTCTGCAGCATGGCCAGGAATCTGGAAAGTTTCCTCATAAGCTGATTAAGCATTGTATACCACAGACGATTTGTCACGATTGACTTTATTTTCAAACAGATGAGAACCAGGGTTGTTTTCCCAGGGCTGGTCCTAAGAGGATGCTGTTGGTGTTAAAAGAATACTGAGACAAGAATTGCTTTTTCTATTGCATAACAAACTACATTGTTCAAACACAGACAGAAACCTTCTTTTATAGCTACAGGAAACCTTTTACTACTCACATAGCTGTTACATGCATGCTACAGTGACACTTCTTAAGCAAACAGCTGCTGTTCCTCAGTGGGTTGACAACTGTGCAAGCAACTTTTAGGAAATTATAGTTCTCCCACTGACACGCTGCATTCAGCTCAACAGCATGGTTACACGGTACCTAGTAGTAAACAAATATAGGTATGGCATGAAAACTGCTGAAGAACATATATGCTTGAACCTAAAAAAAGACCTGGAATGACCATGCTAATGAAAATGTGTTGAACTTGGGGAAGAAGTCTCAGGCAATCCTTACATTTTGCTTTTTCAGTAGTTGTTGCATGTTGAGATTTCTTTTCCCTGATTACTTACGCTGTTAACAAGACACGTGACTCTTCATTGAACTAGGAAAGACAGTCAAGGTTCCTGTACACAGGCTGGAGAACCCACGTATAAGCATGAACACTGGTCAATCTTATGAGATCTCTGCATCACTGAATGTCATAATGTGTATGCAATGAGCTGCTTGCTCTTAGAGCTCTGCTATGCATTTCCTAGACCTGTGGTCTCCAAACTTTTTTTGATCATGCACCCGTATCAGTAAAAGAATTTTGAGCAGGTACCTTCACGTTTATTTAATCATAATTTATATAGATGTACATAATATTACATACATTATAAAACACACAAATAGAAGTTTTAAAAAAGTATGCAATAAAGATGAAATAAACATTTAATTATTCTACAAAAAATATTTCCTTCCTGCACCCTAATGGACTATCTTGCACACACCACACCTTGGAGACCGCTATCTAGAGAACAGACAGTAAACCTAAAGGGTTCCCATTCAAAGCTAAGTAACATAAGCTCAAGTGAAAGCAGTTTCCTGCACTCTTTGGGCTTCTCTTAGAAGTCTCCCAAAGAAAAACTAAGTGGAAAGAGCTAAAGCTTTATCTCAAAAAAAAGCAACCCCAGCAATATGCTGAGGGATTAAAAGAAACCCAAAACCTTAAGTTAAGGCACTCTGATACCAAGAATCTGGAAGGAATGTCATGTAAGGGGTTGGTTCTAATTAGCTGTTGGAAAAACAATCCACGATTTCTAAAGGGAGAGACTGACTCTATGAAGGCAATGAGAAGACCTATGTACAACGATAGTCTCATTAGAAGACCGACCTAAACCACAGAAGTACTCCAGAATGCATTAGGCAGATTCAGGAAGAGACCGGTACACATTTGTTCTTTTACCTAGACCTGTATATACTCCGTGACCACTAATGCAAAGAAGTGTGGTTTTTAAGAACCTATTACTGAGCCTGAGAGTGTGCTTCAAATACTGCAGACCTAAAAAAGGTCTGTTCGACACTCCAAGGATCCAGAAATTGGAGTTTCATTTCAAGATAGGCTTTAACTAATGAAAAGCTTAGAAAGTAAATACAGGTCACAAGGGACAGTTTAGTAACACTAACATCTTACATGGTGGAGCCCAACTGCAGCAGCCTAGTAAGCATACACCAAGCCTGCAAAGTGTTCTTGATTTAGCATAGGAAGCAAGAGACTTATTTTCTAAGAGTCCCCACTAAGTCAGAAGCTCTAGTTTTTTTCTGGGCTTCTCAAATGTTGCAAGTTGATACATTAACCAGAGTTTAATATGTCAGAAAAAGCTTACAGTGATCAGACTTAGACGTTTTTTGTTGCTTGTCCAACTGTAAGGTATATTAGAAGTAAGGAATATATAAGCAATACCTAAGGAAATAAAGAATATATACATTTAAGAAATGTGATAAAAATTCAAAATTCACCTACACAAGAACCTATTAAACTGTTAAGAAAATTTACAACTACTAAAGCAGTTACAGGCAATGACAAGGTAAAAGTCATCAAGCAACTCATGCAAATTCATCTTTTGAAACTACACCTTTACTCTTGTGCTTTGGTTTCCTCCTTAAAGATAAGGAAGACCCAAACTACTTTAGAGGTCCAGTTACTAAAAAACTGTAGTGGAAAGACATTTCATATTTTAGGAAGCCAGAAGAGATGAAGCAATGAAACACTGAGCCAGATACTTCCCCTCTTCCTCTAACAGGACTTGAAATTACAAATCAAACCTTGAAGCATCTAAATGGCATTTTTCCTCCCAGTACAAAAAACAGTTGCAGAAGTGGGCCCTAGCAAGATGAAGATGTGAATCAGAAATTGTTTCTCCTTAAAAAAATGTTTCAAAATCATTACTGTAGAGCACCACGAGACAACGTAAGTGTGTTATTCTCTATGAAACACTTCATTTCTCCTGACTAGAATGATGCCGAGCCTAATAGTCTACACACCAGATCTAAATTCTTTCAGTTTTCATTGTTCCATCTTGTAGAAATGCCAGATTTTTTTTTCTTTCTATTTGTCAAACACAAGATATCATAATGAAATTTTACTCAGTTTAGCCTGAACTTCCAAGGTAATTAGTTCAGTGTGAATATGCATGGTCACAGAGTCTTTATTTTAATTGTATGATCAGGACTTGTAAAGGTAACAGAAAAGATTCCAACCTTTAAGGCCTTTAATAATACCATCATGACAGAGAAAGCCTCCAGCAGGAGGTAAAGGAGTCAGAAGCAGAATTTCCAGCGAAACTGGATTTCATTACCTATAGTGTGTTGGCCATCTTGGAAACTCCGGTCTGACATCCTTTGCTCACACTTACATCAAGCTAGACCTTGACAGCTCCAGGCCCCTCTAATTTGGTTTACTGATTGTTAATATGTACAGAATTCAATGTTTCCTACACTCTTGATATTTAAATAGGCTTTATACATTTTAAGCAAGTATCTTTGCGAGTATGATCTTACAATTTAAAGCACACGCACACCCATGCAACTAGCTTTGCACTGGAAACCTGTGCAAAGGAAAGGAATCTTCAACAAGCAGGAAGGAAACAGTATATACTTGGCTATTCTTGAAACTAGCCAGGCTAGGGCATGACTTCTTATGTGGCACCAGTTTTTCACTGAAGACCTTGATAGGACAACTGGTTATTACCTGATCTTCAGAGCTGTACAGTGGCACCAGAGCTTTCAATGGCTTCCCTTTCTAAAGGAGGAATGGCATCTGGCAGCATTTCTTGAAAGATCATGTCATTAAGACTGGGTGTAAAATAGATTCGGGAAAAACATCTACACTTAAGCCAGCCTGTACATCTGTAAACAATCGTTGGGACACAGATCCCTAAATTACCTGTTAAATTGTCCAGAGAATAAAGTGAGCAAGTCATGCGAAAGACATTTCAAAAGATAAAGATTAGTGTCAAGCAGAAAAAAGCAAGCAAAGTATACATTAAACTAAGTCCCACCAGCAGACCCAGCAAGTAACATGCACAATAGTAAGACTGGAGGCATCTTGGGGAAGGAAAACCAAAGGTGATTATTTTCATTTCTAAAGCAAGCACCTGGAGTACCCGCTCTTATCTACCTCCACAAAACCAGAAAAAAATACATTAGCAAAGGTAATAAAAACGTACTTACGCATGTAAGGATAGAACAGACAAAAATACATTATGAAAAATACCGTCAGCTGCTCCTGCCAAGTCTCATACCACTTTTCACAGGCAAAAAAGAATTATCCTACCTTACAAAGCACAGGACCAGAAGCTATTGTTTGCACCCCTTCAGAGAAAATGCTTCACCTCTATTTCACCCTATGATCAGAAATGCCAGATCCAGTTCCTTTCCCAACGATCATATTTCTGTACACACCAGTGCTATAACCACTGGCTCCGATTTGTTCAAATTTGTATTAGAAAGTGATCAAAGTGAGACCTGAAGTCTACTGGCTCCTTTTGGAGTAAATTATTGTCTACACCACTATTTTGACAGTGGGATGCCACATACCATGTCCTGGGTTTACAGAATAAAGTCACTGATAGACTTGATGTGTATTCAGCCATGTGAGCTTCTGCAGCACGTGCACAGCTCAGGAGGTCCTTGGCCTTTCAGGCCCCAAAGGAATAATGTATGCTCTACTATTAATGTGAAACTCCTATTGCCACATTCACTGACTACATCCTGTGGAGAACAAAGCCTCTGCCCTGACCTTTCCTTTCACCAACTGATTAGAAGTCAATGTTCTAACAGCAAATGTGAACATCCCTACTAACCTCCTTACTTTGCTGGACCAGGAAGTTATTACTGCCAAAGTGCCCTTGTTAGGGCAAGGGGAACCAGTATGTAAATGATTGCCACAAAAACCTGACTGCTACTGGGTCAGTACTTGATTCAGCTGTGACACGTATTTCAATTAACATTTAAAATACTGAAGTGAAAGAATCACACACATCTTATTTAAGTGCCCCTCCCCCTAAACAAAACTTTACAGACCAGGATAAGAAGCTCAAATTTTGAAACAGTATTCTATTTTGTTTCTTGTTTTTATTTCCCTCTATTTCCCTCTTTGGAGAATGCAGGAGTAATACAGCTGAAGTAAGTGCATGCCTCTAAGCTCTGTTTCCAGGTGGTGACAGCTACCCTTGAAATAGTGTTATCCACTTCCTTGACAATAAAAAAAAATTCATAAGCAGGATACAAAACATTAATTGACCAGTTACATAAATACTATACCTAACTTTCTGCAGTAACACTAATAAACTGAACTACTCATATTTCATGACAGTCCTGATCTGTTTTATGACACAATCACAGAAACATCTAAAAGACCTCCAGTATATGAGAGGGACTAGGAAACTAACCCGCCCTGAGAGCCCTGTTTGGGATGACTAACAAGTCACCTGATGGTGACCTTTCACAAGGCCATGAGCAGAGGTGTTCAAGAGAGAGCAACTGTAGTTGCTGCTTCCAGGCCCAATCTCACATCACAGCAGGACTGACAGAAGCAACCAACAACCAAATTTCATAATCCAGAACTTGAGTTAAACACACAAGTGAAGGTGGGTTTGTGCTAATACATTCACTTTCTGACTAAAATTAAGTGGCAATAACATCACTCAAACAACACTTTAGATGAAACACGTGTCCCTACATATCTGAGAATGAATGAAGAGGACTGTTCTTAAAACATCAGGAGCTAACAGGAGTTTGTCATTAAGACTTTTTTCCTGCTTTTCAATGCAAATGAAGAATTCCTCATTGGGAAGAAGGAACAGAAGAAACTTTTGCTTTAGATTCTCAGCATGCCACTTCACTCCTGAGTTTTGTCAGTTCTCAGACTTCTGCTCAAACACCACCTCTTTAGAACCTGTGTGCTCTTTCTACTTACTACACAATGAGGTCAGAGTGTTGCTTTTGACTTACCAAGAAACACTGGGTACCCAAATGGAATACTTAGAACAAGCTTTATTGCAGACAGTAGATCAAGTTTATTTTACACAGAACCTCCAGCTAGTCTCTACACACACATCTTTTGAGGAGGTGAAAAGTGACCAGGTTTAATATCTGATTGTTTACTGTCTCTTTACAGTGTAAATAATTTCTCACTAATGTGCCGGTAAGAATTTTGGTAAAAATGATGGAACGCCTACAAATGCTACTTGGAAGTTTCTCACATATCAAAACTAAGATATGTAACAGAAAATTGACACATATAACAAATCCAAAAGGTAGCTTGCCTTTTTTTTTTTTTTTTTTAAAAGCTCCTCCACATTGCAAGGTCAGTTCAAAGTTTACCAAAAGACCTTTAGAGAGTGATATCAGGTATCAACCATTTCACAGCATAATTAAAACTCAGGAAACCGCATTTAACATAGCTTTTAAATTCTGATAGGTTGACCCTGTGAGACACTCCCTCAGTTAAAGTTACTGAGAGAAGCATTTTGAGGTAACTACAGATAAATCAACAGCTATGCCTCTGAGGAGGTACGAAAAATAAATTCAGAATTATAAAAAAGTACAGCTCTTCCCTGCAACAGTTTGAAGCATCCTGAATATAAAGACCAGGTTAAATGATGACTATTCATAGGTCACAAACCCACCGAATTTAGCAGCATCAAAGTTACCTGCTGGCATTAAGCATTTTCATTACCTGCGCACTTTGTTGTTAACAACCTCTCCCGACAAGAAATCACTTACCATCAAGTTAAGTTCCAGTCAGAAAATTGGGCAGAGAATGCATTCTCTTACTTGTTTAGATTTGAGGAATAACAATTTCTTCATTAAGATAAATATAACTAATTTAATCATTAAGTCATTATGCTTCCTAGCTGTTGTTAATTAATCTAATTCTACATTTTAATTTCCATGTGTCAACTACAGCACTTACAGCTTCAAAGCTTTCTTGGATAAACAATTATCTAGCCAACAGCTTCACAGAACAATCTGCCATAATCTCAAAGAAACCAACATATTTGCTCTCGGCAACAGAGCATAAAGAAGTGGCACATCAGCAGTCTTATTTACTCATTTAGGTGTCTTGACTAACAGAAGCAAAAAACATCTAGGTTTTTTACTGCCCTCCCCTACTAATCATCATATTGCTTGGGGTTTGTTTTTTTTCTCGTCTTTAAGAGTTGGTAAAGCCAGGTTAATGACTGTGAACTACAGAGCAAAAAGTGACAAGCAAAAGATAATCTGGAAAACTTCTTAGATACCTAAAATATCCAGGGCTAGAATGATAATTTACACTTTACAGAGTAACGAACACCTTTCAGGATTCCAAGCAGGTCAACAAGCAGTAATTCTTCCGGTAAGCGCTGCACTCCCATTCCGATGTCTTGTGTTGTGTTAAAACAAAGAAAAAGTTACAGTTGCCATTAAATCACTGAAACACAATTCTCTGAAGGTGGGCTACCAAACAGCCTGAAAAACATCTCTGCATGACACAATTAGCTAGAGACCAGAGATACCCATATCTTCAAGAAAAATTATGAAACTCTGAACATACAAACAGCAAAGAACTAATTTTGAGATGACTTCTTACCCAATTGATTCTTCATCATTAGAGCTGTCTCTGTTGCAGTCCTTCTGTCTTTTTCCTTTCATGGAAGGCTCTCTGTTGTTAGCACGTAATTTCCACTGAAATAAAACAAATAAAATTGTCAGGTTCCAACAGACATAAATATATCATAATGGATATCACGCTAGAAAAAGGGAACAACGCAAATGATGAAATAAAGCAGAGCCATAAAAAGTATATACAACAATTTTGCAAAGAATGAATTTGCTTGATTTAAAGCAACCACATACCACCTGATCTTGAATGGAACTTTTTTTCTCCTAAAGAAATTTGACAATACAGGACACTCCAGTTATTTCCCTATTTAAAGGAGGACTATCCCAAACAGGGACTTAAATGTTAGGCCTGTTTTACATAATCAAAAATACGCAATATAACCTCTACTTTCTTTACCTCGATGCATTTAACCAAGTTATATTCCACTCAAAGATACAAAATTTTAAGAAGGAAAAGAAATTTGAAGGTTTGGCACCTGGGTGGCAAAACCCACAACAGCAAGACTTCATTTTATCCAACTTCTCTTACCTTACCAGGATGCACTTATAGTTTCAAATTAATTAAATGAAGCCCCACTGAAACATACAGCTATTTCCACAATTCCAGAAACCTATCTCCCTCTGCCACTACCTCCTCTGGTAATCTCTCCTGACTTCTTTTAATGTGAAAGATAATAAACCAAACAGACGTTTGAAAATTATCCCAGTCAGGCTGAAAACAGACAAACTTATCTTCACTTCAGTTTAAGCGTAGAGTGAAAGGGCATCTGAAACACTCATGACTACATGTATTTTACACACTTTAGTGAAGTCTGAAAGGTACATCCCAAATCAATCTTCTCCCTACCATAGGGGTCAACCCTAATGGAAAACGCCTCATTATTAAAACAGCTTGCAGCAAGAAATTGCCTTGAAGGTGCTCTCCCCTCCTCCTGCCTTCAAGCATCATCTAGTTCACACCATACCACTGATCTCCAAGCATGTTAGAGACCTATATGCCCAAGTTACTGAAAACTGCACAAAATCTCAAACATGCAGCAAACTCTGGCAACACTAAATACAACCAGGACAGACCTTGTAAGGTTAAAACAATAATATTTATTTTAATGATGATAACTCATGAACAATATGTTCTTTTAAAGCAGAATATAAAGACTAGTCAGTGTTTAAAGCATACAAAGCCCTCTACCACATGGAAAACTCTGAAATATACAGACACAGGTAAGAAAAATAAGAAATGAAAAATTAGACAGTGCACAGGAAATAACAAGGAAAAAAGATTTTTCAATTCACCCAGTATAACCACTGTTTTCATAGATGCAGAAAGACAGGAAGAATTCCACATAAGTGCCCTCTGGCTCTGCCTAAGAGACTGCTGCTTGTAACCACAGAAGACATAACTTCCAAATTCAAAACCTGACTGTAATCAGATGCTCTGCTCACTGGAAGTATTAACAGTATAGAACACAACCACACAGTGAGCTTGTATTGCAGCATGCTCAAATGGCCAGACCTACCAAAAGACCTGGGTGACATTATCACCAGTACTGTAAGTTAAAAAAATTCCTAGCTTCCCTCACTAGTTTTTTAAAACTCCTCTGTGGAGGAGTCTATTTGTCCAGCCTCACAATTTTGAAAGCACTGAAACCAGCAACAAACTCTCAATGCTAAGCTGAAGGAGTCAAGAGTACCAAAACATGTTTCTAAAACCTGACATTTTAAAAATGTTTACTAAATTTGGAACAGATTTATAGAAGCAAATATTTGCTTCTATATGTGACAAGACATATCTATATCAAGACAGTCATTTACGAGAAATGCCATGTAAGTACTCTTACAGTACTTGGTCTTAATACTGAAATCAGTTATTTCCGTATTAGCACCTAAAGTGTCTGTCAAGAGTCATACACTACTTATTCTCTTATAATTTAAGCTCTTGGATACAAATAACGACTAATTGAAAACTTAACGTCAAAATTATTTCCATATCGCAACCAGAAGTTTGGTAAGTGACCAGAATATAACCTGTAAATTCAAGAAACAGAGGACAACTAACTAAAAAAAAAACCACAACATTATATTTGCCTTTAAATTCATGTGTTCAAGAAACAGAGGACAATTAACTAAAAAAAAAACCCACAACATTATATTTGCCTTTAAATTCATGTTTTCAGGATAATGTCAAACTACACCTGAAGACCAACTCTGCTTTTTAATGCTTTACACTGGCAATACAGTGCTAAGACTCACAGTTCTGGAACTGCATGCTTGCAGGCAGATTTCAGACCTACACATTTGTCTCTTTCCAAGACAATCTGGGTCAGGTATTGGTCACACGGCAGCACTCAGTATTGAAAAAAATCCAGCCTCCAAAACAGAACCAAAAACCCATGTAACATTCTCCTATGTACTTTACACTCCAAAGAACTTCTCTTTACCTCTTTTAAAGGGTAGTCCCAATGGTGGGAGCCTGGGAGCCTTGCCAAAGGGGACTGAACTTGAACATCCTCTGACTTGGTGTTTGTTTTCTTCTTTGGTATACGAAACTGAAAATAGATGATGTTACACATATGATAAAGCTAAAATTATCCACTGGTGCTATGAGCTGACATACTGCCGTGTAGAAAGTTTTCTTAACCATCAGGCAAATTAATAAAGTTGCAAGGGAAGCATCAACCTGTAACTGTAATTTAAATGCATTCCTCACTGATGCTTGATCCTAAATTGTCTGTCACACCACATGAGGAGCTAGTTTTAACACATGAACTGTCCGAAAAAGCTCTTCCTATTTCATTAACTTTACAAGAACTTCAAATGTGTGCCCAAAAGGTGAGAACCAACCTACTGGCACTTAGTTTTCCTAGTTCCCTCCAATTTGTTTACACTCTAGTTTAATCATCACAGCAGAGAACGATAGAGAGAAAACAGTGTCATGATGAGTATCACAGCAGGTATGATCTCAAAAAAAAATTCAGGATGAAAAGCAATTATGCCTTAGAACAGCACGAGCATTTTGCTACGATAATTTCGCATCAATACACTATAATGTACTCAAAATGGTATCAGCTGTTGTTACTGCCAGCCTTCGTGAAAATGGAACCAGCATTTCAAAAGTAATTATTGAAAGATAACGTTAGTAATTTGAAGAACTGACCCAATTCAGGAAAAATACATAGGAAATAACGTTCATTCATTGACCATTTTTGTTTTGAATTTCAAACTAAATTCCTACCAGTTCATCAAGACAAGAGGGTGACATTTCCTATCAGTCAATTAAGCCAGTTTAAATAAAATCAACTGAAGTAATAGAAATGCAACCTTGCCATTTCTCCAGGTATTCTGAGAAGCAAAACCTTACACTACAAAAACAACTGGATTAGAATGTACCGGAGAGGGAACACAACATTTACATCTTTCAGACAATTGAGAGTATCTCAGCCAGGAAGAAGCTGAAGCTACTACACACAATGTCTACCTTCAAGGTATTATGAACTTACTTTGCAAGCTGCCAGATGCCTGACTTTGTAACATGAAATTACAAGCAAGGACTCTAGAACAGCGATGCTAACAACTTAATAATTAACACAGAAACTGCATTCATTAGCTCTGTACGTAGTCCTTCAGACAGACCATAACCGAAGCATACTGTAGCACAATGAGATAATTCTTCAGTTCAAATTGGAAGTGCTCTTTTTTCTTCTCTACACTTCTCTGAAACAAAGATTTTTTTTCTTTAGTAATTATACATTAATTTCTATACAGTACCTCACCCTGCATTTGCTTGTCAAACACTTTAATAACAAATACACCTTTAATAACAGATTCCTCATTATAAAGGATGTAATTGTTAGACAGAGGCAACAGCTTCTAATACAAGTACCTCCCCATCAACATTTAAGGACTGAAATAGACATTTTCTTATTCAAGAATGTCTGCAATTAGACTGTTTAGTGGGTTGGGGGTTTTTTTTGAGAAGTGGCCTACAAACATGTTTTACCAGTCAGAATGCATTTTTTTTTTTTGATCTATACCTTAATGGCCAGGTACAAATTTCTTACTTCAGAACTCCACCTGCTGTCTGACTGGTGGTTTGTTATGAGCTTCCTAACAATGCAACTTATCTAAAATTTTAACACGCATTTAAAGTCACAGAGGTTCAGACAACCTCTGTAATAACATAACAGATAACACTGAGAACAAGTAAGATCAGACTCAGAAAACCAAGAGACAGATGGACGGACAGACAGCGACAAAAACACAAGATACATTCATCAGCAAAATTTTCACCTCACCATACAATATCTTCCCAATGCTTGCACTCATTAAGATGATGTTGGTTGCAATGCCCTCAATTAACTTACAGAACAAGCACAGAGGCAACCAACAGAGGTCTTTAACTATGGTAAGCGCAACATATGCGGTTGCCTCAGCTTTTCCATAATAGAAAGCTACTAACTCAACACATAGACCTGCATATGCACTTAGCAGACTCCTCATCTAAACCAGCAGTAGTTTTCTGAAGGTTCCCACCTGTAGGAGCAAGGGTCAGAGAAAGCGCATAAACAAGGTGCTGGAAACAGCTTATTTCTAGAACACTAGACAGTCCAGACCTTACCCAATCAAACCAGTTGCTGTGCCTACAATTTACTTTCACCAGTGCTTCCACTGCCAGAAACTACAACTAGGAATATTTTAGAAAAAATAAACACTAGCATTAAGTAGTCTCTGAATATATCTCTGCAGATAACTAAACGCTATGCAGTTATGCACTTACTCTAGCACTAATCTTAATATTTCAGATGTTAGCTTAGATCTTAAAATATCTTTGAGAACATGCTGTTTATGCACAATCAAGCATTAAGCCTATCGTGTATTAATACACGTTCAACAGCAGACATTACTATCGACTGCTACCAGAGTAAAGTGTTTCTCAGGAAAGAGGGCTCCAGCAAAGCAAAACCTGGACCACCGGAGACTGAATTTGGTTGCACAAACACATCAGAGCACCCTAGGACACCCACAGCCTCCACGTAAATTGTTGCCAATCATAGGAACACTTACACTGACACGACTTGAAGATGATGTTCTTCCTTCCATGATTTTCTCTACTGAAAAAAAATAATACAAAATAAGCTTAGTAATTTGTATCTTACTTGTTTAGCGGGAAGCAGGACGACAGTAATAGGTATTACGCAAAAACCAAGAAAATCATTTTTGAGCAAGCCAGCACACAGAAAACTCGTACATGGAATGGTTCAGGTTAGAAGGGACCTTAAAGCTCATCTAATTCCAACCCCCTGCCATGGGCAGGGACACCTTCCACAGACCAGGTTGCTCAAAGCCCCATCCAGCCTGGCCTTGGACACTGCCAGGGAGGGGGCAGACACAGCTTCTCTGGGCAGCCTGTGCCAGTGTCTCACCAGCCTCACAGTAAGGAATTTATTCCTCACATCCAACTTAAAATCTACCCTGTTTCAGTTTAAAACCATTGCCCCTTGTCCTGTTGCTGGAGGCCTTGGTAAAAAATAATTGACAGCCACAACACAAGAGACTTGTGCTTGGGTAAGGTTCTGGATTGTCAGCGTGGACAGAACTGTTAACAAAAATTTCACTACAATTTACCCTCAGTGAAGGATAAAATTATCGCTAGAATTTACCCTTAGTGAAAGCATTTACTGGCAAGCAGACAACTAATAAGGAATTTGGGATTTGATTATAAAGTGAAAAGTAGTCACAGAAGACATCTATAGGAGCTCCTGTATAAATAAATAAAATTCTAAATAAATAAAATTCAAGTATTCCTGTTAACAGATAAACTTCTTCGTCAGTGGAAGAACACAGCTTCCAAGCTTCCAGCATTCATAAGGGTTTATTCTCTTTATAAATACTCTGTCTGACTCTGGTGCAAGACCGTCAAACCTTACAGCTAGTTTGAAGTCTCTCAAGACCTGTAAATTCGTGTAATTTCATTTAGCTCGGCGGTCTTTCAGCTTACAGCCCCAGTCCCCCGGTGTGGGGAACAACAACACCTACAGACTGCTAAAGAAAAGCCCAACTACCGCCTATCCCAACACCCGCCAAGAGAGGAAGCTGACAAGCGGCGGCCCTCTGACAGCTCTGGGGACAAGCACAGGCACCGCCCGAGCCCGCCCCCGCCCGGCAGGGCAGCGCGCGGCCGCCCGCACCCCCGCTTCACCGGCTCCCGGCCCTGCCGCCGGCTCCTCCCGCCAGGAAGGGAAAGGGCTTCCGACTGACGAACGGACAAGCACCGAGGGTCTGCAGTTCCGCGCTCCCACCCTCTCTCCTCGGTCTCCTCACAAAGGAGGAGGAGGAGCAGCAACGCCACCGCCACCCCCACGCTCCCCTGCCGGCTTCGCTCGTTCGTGACAGATACCCTGTGCAGTGCGGACGGCCGAGCCCCGGCCAGCGCGGACACCGACCGCCCAGGACCCACCACGCCACGGCCGGCCAGCTTTATTTCAGCACTCCCC